GCTCAGGCTGCGGCCGCGCGTGCGCCCGCGGGGCCAGCGGAGCCGCGTGGTTAAGTGCAGCGCCAACCCCATCTTCAACGAGGACTTCTTCTTCGAGGGGCTCGGCCCGCCGGACCTGGCCGCCCGCAGCTTGAGAGCCAAGGTGCTGGACAGGGGCGCAGGGCTCCGCAGGGACGTGCTGCTAGGAGAGTGCGAGACGCCCCTTATTGCCCTGCTGCCCCCCTTGGGTGGAGGGCTAGGCCCGGGGACCTCCCTGGCGCCCGCCCACCTCAGCCTCTAGACGGAGACACCCTCTTTCGCAGGAGGCCTCCACCGGGCCTGCAGTCCGTCATTCTTTCCATCTGCCCGGCATATATTTATTTTTGCTAATAAAATGTCTATTTGTCTCTAGTTTGGGTCTGTCCTGTCTTTGGCACCCTGCACGCCCAGGTCTGTAACCTGCCGTCTTCCCTCTGCCTGGCGGTAGAAGGGATGAAAGAAGCCCATTCGGATCGTCTGAGTTGGAGCCCACCTTGAGAGTGCTTCTCAGACTGACATGAGCCTCAAATCTTGGGCCCTGGACGAGCCGGTTAAATATGCAGAACACTGGGCTCCATCCCACAGAAATGCTGGGTCAGTAGATCTGGGCTGGGTGGGTCCTAGGGTCACTGCCCAACAAGGCCCCCACCCCTTCAGGGAGCCCTCCAACGACTGAGTCACTCCGGAAAAACTCTGTGACTGAAACCAACGCAAGCCACCTTCCTCCGTGCTCCTGGGGCCGCACAGGGGAAATCAGCACAAAAGCCACTTATGACGCCCCACTCCCCACACTCACACCCACATCTGTCCTGCATGGGTCAGGGGATGTCACACTAATGCCCAGTGCCCTATAGGCGTCCTGCCTCTTCCCTTTCCCCTCCACACCTGTGCCACCCTGGGGGCAAGGCTGGGGATGAGCAACGGCCTGAGATGTGTCACAGGCATGAGATCTGGTGGCGGGAGGGTCCGGCCGAGTGTGAGAGCTGTTCTCAGCGATGCCAGAAAAGGCTGCCCAGCGCTGAGGAGAAGGGGGCAGAAGGTGGATAAGTGTAGGTCAGACGGTGTCTGCCTCCTACCTGAGTGTCCCTGACGTCAGCAGTGACCTTCCTCTCCCTGCACCTTCCCTGGAGCTGGTTCCTCGCGGCTCAGGCCAGGTTTGGAGGAGAGAAGGGAGGCAAGCAGGCACTGGGCCGGCCCAGCTTCTTCCTCCCTCCCCCTGGGCCTTTTCTCTTTCCCCGTGGTGCCCTCTGGGGCCAGAACAGGAGCTGAGCTTGCAGGATCGTGATGATACCTCCCCACGTCCAGCTCCAGCACAACACACACACACACACACACACACACACACGCCACACACACACACACACGTATGCAGCACACATGCGCACCACACACACACCATACACACACACCACACACACACCATACACACACACCACACACTCCACACACACACCCCACACACGCGCACCACACACACACCATACACACACA